TTAAAGTCAATAAAAATAAATATAATATATATTATAATATTATAATATAATATAATATAATATAATACAATATTATAATATAATATAATATAATATTATAATATAATATAATATAATATTATAATATAATATAATATAATATAATATAATATAATACAATATTATAATATAATATAATATAATATAATATTATAATACAATATATTATATAATACAATATTATAATATAATATTATAATATAATATAATATTATAATACAATATATTATATAATACAATATTATAATATAATATAATATAATATAATATAATATTATAATATAATATAATATTATAATATAATATAATAGTACAGTGGGAGTACATGAACTTTAATTTATATATTTGACGAGAAATCATTTAAATCTTGAGAAATTCATTATAAGATAATAAAAATTATAAATTAGTAATTTTGACCACTTTGGTGGTATTTCTGGTATTAACTGATTTGTCGATGTAATAAATTGTAATGCATCAAAAGTAGTGTTAAGGCCAAGGGTACGTGACACTTATGACAGCGTGACACATTAGGAAATTCTAAACCATTTGACCACTTACAAATGTAGTGTGTAGAACGAAATCTGCTATTTCAGAACTGTAATATTCACGAACTGCCACTAGATGAGATTCAAGCATGGAATTTCCATCAGAGAGACATTAAAGTCAATAAAAATAAATATAATATATATTATAATATTATAATGTAATATTATATAGTAGTACAGTGGGAGTACATAAGTTTTAATTTATATATTTGACGAGAAATCATTTAAATCTTCAAAAATACATTATAAAATAATAAAAATTATAAATTAGTAATTTTCACCACTTTGGTGGTATTTCTGGTATTAACTGATTTGTCGATGTAATAAATTGTAATGCATCAAAAGTAGTGTTAGGGCCAAGGGTACGTGACACTTATGACAGCGTGACACATTAGGAAATTCTAAACCATTTGACCACTTAAAAATCTAGTGTGTAGAACGAAATCTGCTATTTCAGAATTGTAATATTCACGAATGCAAAAAATGCGATGTAGGATTATGTATCGATCCATGTTGTACCTCCAATCGTACCTACCATACTAGATTATTAAATGTACTATGAAAGGAAGCTTACAGTGTTTCAATTTTCATCATACGCACTAACAATTCGAAATAAAAATAACATTCATTGTAGCGCAATTCAGCGTTTCGATTATTCCAATATATGTTGTCCCTGACAAACGTACGCCGACGAAAATTTTCGCTACTCTCACAATCAGTGTAGGTCGCGATTCAAAGTCTAACACCCCCACCCCCCCTCCAAGGGGAGTTTAAGGAAGCGAAAGAAACCTTCGGTACGAAGAAAGGCGTACGAATATTAGGCGTGAAACATTGAAGAGGCAAGAGAAAAAGGTAGGTAGGGGGTAGTATAGAGAACGAGGCGAACGGGGGTGAGTGGGTGGGTGGGTGAGGAAGGGGGTTGGTACGTTTCACGGGAGGGTAGTGTTGATGCAGTCGCAGAGCCAGTCAGTAGCTGCTACGGCACGGAGCGGCGCGCGCGTGCTCCTACAACTCGAGCGGCTTCGCACGAGATCTCGGCACGATGTCGAAGTGTCGCGTGATCATGACTGAAAAGTATCAGCTATCCGAACGTAGCCAGCATCACCGTCGCTGAACACTCTCATTCTCGACAGTTGCGCCTTCGCCTCGTGGTAAAACTCTCGACGAAGCTTGAGAAAGAAGATAGAAACTTCTCGAAGATAGAAACAATAGTCGACAAACTCCCTCCCTTCGACGGGAGGGAACCACATTCGTTTCGCTTTCTCTTCTCGACTGTGCGAGGGAAATTTGTTCCAAGGGACAAATTTTCGCGTCGGGGACGGTGGCTGTTGGAGGATTCTCCGGCGGGCGGCCGGAGACAGTAGAACGAGAGTAGCACGGCGACGTAGTAGCATATCGTGACGCGGTTCGAGCGTAACCGCGGCGGAAGAAAGAAATGTGCAAGAAGAATCAAACAGGTGGACGGAAGGATCGAACCCGGCAGCTTGCCTCCTGCACTCGCCACCATGTTTCTTCCCGGTCCCGTCGAGCCCGGGTCCCGTGAAATCCCCGTCGATGCTACGTTCTATCGCCGATGCGACGAATCGTAAGCTTAACAAAATATTCTTAAATATCCATCCTAGTCCCGCGCTTTGTGAAGACACAGACACTGACACTCAAGACGAGTGTAAGAGTGTAATCGTTCGATAGGAAAAATACATTTCGAATTTCGAGTTTCTCTCCAAGAGGGAGGAGAGATTCGGTCTTTGGTCTAGAGATTCAATCGAGGGGATGAAGGGACGATGAGGGCGTTAATCAGAGTCATTGAAAAATACGCGAGAAAGAGAAGCGAGGGGGGAGAAACAATAATTCCCTGGGCGATTACAAGTTCCGCCAAGCGAATGATGATATACCACGCGAGAACCACTTTGGAAGATTGCTTCTGGGGTTCCTCGAACGAGAGAACCGAGAGAGAGAGAGAGAGAGAGAAAGAGAGGGGAGAACTGAAAACGTGAAAAATATCACGTTCGTTAAGCAGCAGCTGCTCGGTTTCATTGTAATTTACCGGTGCTCGTTTCGCGCGCGACAACCAATTCTTATCGAGAAACCAATTCTGCTCGTCGACTCGGTAAATACTTTTCGACGAAGACACACACACACACACTCATGCACATAGATATTTCGAAATACATTCCCGCACGCTCGCGTAATAATCTCGGGATAGCCGTTGAAAGGAAGTCCCGAGGATTTTCTAGAAGCTCGTCGCGTTGATAATTTCCAATTAACAAGATCGAGAGAACAAGAATATGAAAATGGAGAGAGAGAGAAAGGGAGAGAAAATGGCAAGAAACGTTTCTTCTCGCGGGGAATTCGTAAGTGGCGCAAACTTTCGAGAGTGTAAAGTTCGTTGATGAAAAATTTAATTATCGAAAGAACGGTGATGGCAACATGCACTGATATTTCCATCGTTTCTTAATTAACGAGAAGAAGAAAACAAGCTTGAAGACCGAATCCGTTAACCGTGCAGGCTGCAGGCGCGTTCACGTATTCAGCAAATCAGCTTAAACGCTCGTCTCGAAAACGAACTCGTAGAAAACGAACAGATGCGTCTCGCTCTCGATTCAGTTAGCTTCCGCCAGAAGAATCCGGCTGCTCGAAACACGCTCATAAATAATCAAATCGACCCGTTTCCCTCAGACATTCGAGCTACATCCGAGAGCTCTACATTCCCTTCGATTTTTAACGTAAAATTCTGTCTCTGTAACGTTTGCGTTTATGGTAGTTCGTAAGTTCACGCTCGCCGAAGCATAAAATAAATTTGGAAAAAAGCATAGAGAACAGAAAATGAAAGAGGCTCCTTTGTGATTCACGATCCGCGTAGTTGAACGAAGAGACGATGATTCTGTTTTGTTAAGAAATTGTTTGCAATTTCGTTGCGATGTTGCGCGCATCGGCGTCAGAGTCTAGTGTGAAACTGTGCGTTACGAACGATCGTTCGCGGTTTAATTTGCAATTATTTTCACGGTCTCCTTCTCCGCGACATTCGAGCAATGAATTGCACAACAAATTGCATTAAATTGTGTTCGTTTAATTAATCAGTGTAATGGAAAAACGTTCAATTAAAAATTGCGGACAAATTTTCTTGCACCTCTGACGATAAAAAAAATTTTAAGGAACTTTTTAGAGTAAACTAAAGTTGTTGAATAAAATTGTAAAATACAAGGTTCGTAAACCTACAGTTTTTAATCTACGTGAGAAATGTAGAAAGTTATTTCGTATTTTGGACACGATTCTTTCAAGATAAAATTGATAAAAACAGGCAAATACGATATTTTTGTTAAATATAATGTTCATTTACTTGATTAAAAAAAAAAAAAAAAAATAAAAGAATAGCTCTGTAAGGAATTTGACTCCTTGTCTGACCATATACGAATTTAACCTACTTACAAAGCAACGATAGCTGTATAATGAAAGGCTATTCACAGGTTTAAATTATGATACAACGAACAAAAAACATTCCATTAAATATTTCCTTGTACTTCTAAGAAACATTTTAAGGAACTTTTCAGAGTAAACTGAAGCTGTCGAATAAAATTGTAAAATACAAACTGGTCTTGGTCCACATGAGAAATGTTATAGAAAATGTTTTTAGATACGATACTTTTAAGATAAAAATAAGCGAACACAATGCAATGTAGTTGAATTTTACTCGATAAAAAAGGAACAAAGGAATAGCTCTGAATATATGGAGTTTGACTCCATGTCTGACCACGTACGGATTTCACCAACTAAAAGACACTAAATTCTACGTTTCAAAGCACTTTTGTAAGCGCGATCAATTCAATTACACGAGCAAACGAAATTTATCAATTTCTAACTTTACCGTAATTTACAAAAGAACAGATCTATCAATCTTTCATGCTTCCCGTCCGATCGTCCAACAAAAATCTACCACCAAAGTTCCCCATTCCGCCGAAAATTCAAGAGCACCATATCTCGATTATGTCACCAGTATTCTCCACCAGAGAAACTCCCTCGCCAATCCAGCTCTCCATCGAGATCGCGACGATGAAACGAATCCATCAACCTTCCACCGAGAACGCTCCTTCGAGACCCCCGTCGATCCTTTTCGATAGCCCCATCGATTATTCCGGCGACCGTTCCAGCGAAAATCCACCTTCCAAGCCCTGTTTACTAACCAATGGCCACCGCGATTATTCCACGTCGGGCGAAAATCCTTCGGAGGGGCTCCTCGAACGGTCACAATACACCCGGCTCGACAAAGTGGCCATTGAGACAGCGGACAATGTGTCTCGGCCAGAGAGGCGTATCGATCGTCGTCGAAGAAACGTTTCCCGACGATCTAGGCGATCGTTCTCGCCGAAAGCAGGGATGGGAGAAACATGCAACAGGTAACGCGATCTGCTTACGATGGCCACGGATTTCGTCGCGGAGGATGGCTAAAAAACGGCCAAAATTACGAATGCGATTTACCAACGCGCAAAGTTGTACGACGATTTTCTATGCCTGCAACAATTCGAGAGAGAGGCGAGAGAAATCGTTCGCGATCCCGCGAGCAACAGGTTAGCCTTCGTAATGAATCGCGAGAGTTAAGGACGGTCGAGTTGCTCGACGACGTATCGTCGATGAAACGAACGCCGGTGGGGAAGGAAGTCAGGAAAGAAAGGCTCGAGGTAAAGGTCGATGGTTTTAATTAATTCGACGAGGTCGATCGGTGAGAATGGCGAACATTTGAAAACTTGGTGCCAGGTTGGTTCGCACATTTCTCAACTGCATTGTCAGATCGACTCGAGATCGTTCTCCTTTTAGGCGATTTTTTAAAATCTCTTCTTCTTCTTCTTCTTCTATTTTTTTCTTTAATGTCGCATCGACAGCGAGGTCATTAGCGACGATGATGCCATTAGATATGAGTGTAGTAGTTTATGTTTTTGAGGTACTTTAGTATTCTTTGTATGTCATTTTGAGAAGTCAGGTTTATGTTTGCGTTGATTTCGTATTTCTGTCTTTGGATTTCTGTGGTGTGGCATTCGTGTAGTATGTGGGTTAATTTTTAAAATCTCGTCAACACACGGATGCTTAATAAATAATTGACAGCCACAATCACGTACGTACGTATGTATATAAATCGCAACGAAACGAGAAACAATCAAGAACGAAATTAACATGTCTAATTATCTACAAGTAGATCGAGAGACTAATTGGTCAGACGCACGAAGAAGTTTCTTGTTTTCCAAACTGGAAAATCCAGGAATAGATTTTCTATCTGCAATTGAAATGACGTTAATCTGATCGAAGCGAAAAGTGGAACGTGAATGACGTTATCAGTATCACTTCCCAATTAGTTTCATTTACGATCGCAGTATTGCACATGTAACAATAGTGTTATTAATTGCGAAGTCGGTTTGGAACAGCGACACTGGTCCAAACCGACTCAAAGTCTCGATAGAGTTTGATTTCTTTCTCATAATTTTTTCATAATCACTCCTAACGAATTTGTTCGAATCGATGAAAAACGTTTAAATTTCGCGTTCGATTTTCATTGCATTTCACTTTTCTTTTCTTCCTCTCTTTCTTTCTCTCCGTAACGAAACATCCATCGCGACTCGATCGGCGTAGGTGTGACGATTACGCCGAAAGAACTACGAATTCAATTAAACAGCAAAATTGCTTCTGGGGCGGAACGTTTCTGGATCAATTTAAATTGATATCTCGTTACTGAATATAATAATTATTATCCCATTTCGCGTGCGTCGGGGCCTGTTTGCAGGCACGTCGTTAAATTCGTCGGAATTTATAAATTGAATTTTGCTCGTGTTAAATTCAGCTCGCAGTCAATTCGCGTCGCTCGCGTGTTTCGTTCAATTCGGCACCAAAACAGCCGACTTTCGAGCAGAGAAACGTCGAGAGAGAAAAAAAAAAAAGAAAATTAATTGAAATTAGAAAGAATCACCGGACCTTTGATTAATTTTTCAACGCAAGAGAAAAGAGTTTCGCGAAGAAGTAATGGAATAATACACTCCATAACACTCGCGCGTGGACAACGTAAATATTAGTCCATTAGTCGCAAATACAACTCGTCTCTCTCTCTCTCTCTCCCTCTCTCTTGAAATAAAAAATTTCGAGAGTGAAACAAAGTTGTTCCTTCTCGAATAAGGATTGAATTTCGTTGCGGGGGCCGCTGATGAGAAACTCGCAGCGATGATTTCGAGATAATGCTAAACTACGAGCGTTCAATGTATCCGACGATGATTCGCAATCCCGGAAGCTTTTATTTCGCAAGTGAATGATAAAGTGCAGATGGACTCCCGAGTGATTCACAATTTTTAGTCGACGTCCAATGGCGCTGTCGTACTTTCTCTTTCCCGACGTCGAACTCAGTGAACATTTATATTTATCGTCGCGGCGAGAGTTTCCGAGATATATTCGAGAAATACAGAAATATATCGTCGAGATGAGAACGAAAAGTGAACGAATCATGAACAAAGACGAAGAAGACATTCGAAGAAGCCAAGTATCTCGAATATTTCTTATTTGAAAAAATTACATTGTAACAAAATGAAGAAAAATGTCCTTCTTGTTAAGATTTCTCGCAGTTTCTACATGCAGATACAAAGATACAAAGGTATTCGCACACTCGATGAAAGATTATTTAAAAATGTGTTCCAGCTTGGTGAAACAAAGTAGAACGATCTACATGAATCACGTTCGTTCTAAAGTGTGAAACATCCGCTTCTACCAATCTTGAATCTTTTTCTCTGCAAAAATGTTTTTACACCACGCAGCGGGTAGAATTTTGTCGTCAAGAATTGTAGAAATTGCAGCGGCTCCAAGATCAGTAAGAAAATATTTCTCGTGGTTAGATCAATCGTGAAGAAAATTGTTTAATACTGAATTCTGACAATTTTGGAAAACAAAAGTATTATTGCTTTTCTAGACAATATAAAAATCATCTTTGAGAAGAACTACCGTAGAACCATCAAAGTGGAGAGTTTAATACCCTAAAATAAGGATAACTTAATTGTTCTTTATGAAGTTATAACTAGACTTCGGATGTTTGTGCATTTACACAAAAACTTGAAGACACAAAGATACGCAGAATGCACGTAATATGCAAAAATATATAAAATATATAAAATGATAATGTGTATATTTTATATATTACAAATAATATAAATATTATAAATAATAATAATATAAATATTATAATACGTAATAGGAATTTTTCCATTTAAAACAGAGTTGGCTAACTGGCAGACCGTGGGACCTTACTTTCCTGATCGTTAACTATCCCCTCCACTCCATCGATCCCCTCCAAAGTAGGGACAAGGGCCGCCAGTTAGCCACCTCTGATTTAAGGTATATGTACTCTCCATTTCCATTTAATAATAATATGTATTTTCTTCAATTATATAAATATGTTGCTCCTTCAATTGTATTCACGAAAATTTAGAAATACATAAAAATCGGCTGATAGTTTGAACAGCTGATAACACAGGCAATTTTTCTGTTCGAGCGTGCGAATACTTTTGTCGTAGGAACAAACACTAATTGCCAGAGAAACCGGAAGCCTCAGATGAAACGAACGATTACACTCGTAACAATCTCGTCCTTAGCCAGTAACTCCCGGTATCTAGTTTCTCGGTGTCTGCTCGATCACGAACGAAACATCCGTCCAACGGCACGAAACCATCTCGGAAAATGAAACGAAAGGAACTTTCTTCTCTCCGTAACAGACAATCCACGGTACCATCACCGGCCACCGTCGCGATGCACCGTTCTCCACGCGAACGACCCGGATATCCCGCCACGAAAGCAACGACCTGCAACGAAATCGACCGACTCGACGAACCTGATTCGACAAACCCGCTCTGAACTCAGCCCGAGCGAGCCGAACGAACGAGAAACGCGTCGTCGACGCTATTCGAAAAGCCCAACCACTCGCAGTTATGAAGTCATGAAGCTTCTGCTGCTTGCCGCGCTCGGTTGCGTGTGCTCGGCCCATCGCGAGCCAAGCAGCGACGACTACCACAGTTTCGAGCAGATCCGTCGTCACGACGACGTCGACGACGACAACTATCGCACTGATCGCCGGTGGTTGATCGATAGGGAGAAACTCGCCGATCACGTGCAGACTCTTGGCAGTAGATCGAGAAACGACGAGGAATGGTACGTGGACAGGGATGATCGGATCGGGCGGCGAGTGCATCGCTATCGGCTCGAGAACCCGGAGACCCATCACCTGATCCGACACGGTCGCCGACAGTTCCGATCGATGGATCAGAACGCGCACCCGCAGATCAACTGGCCGGTGAAGAAAGAAGCGGTGGTCGAGGGTGATCTGGTACTCGGTGGTTTGATGATGGTGCACGAGAGGGAGGACACGGTCACGTGCGGCCCGGTGATGCCGCAGGGTGGCGTGCAAGCTCTCGAGGCGATGCTCTACACCCTGGACAAACTCAACGAGGACGAGGGTATCGTGCCAGGTGTGAAGATCGGGGCGCACATCCTCGACGACTGCGACAAGGACACGTACGGCCTCGAGATGGCCGTGGATTTCATAAAAGGTAAGTAAACGTTGGGACACGTTCCCCCGTCATTTCGTTCGACGATTATTTCTTCACGACGGTTTTTCTTTTTTTTTTTTTTGTGGGGGAGGATTACGTGACTACGCCTCGTAGGGGATGAAGCTTTAGAAATTTGAAGTCACGCGCCTCTGGAGCAGAGACATTTCCTTTGTAATGTGGGTGGATCGAGTTGAACGCGTGAATGATGAGAAATTGTCGGTGAAATTTGAACTGTTGGTAAAGATTCCACTTCGATTATTCCAAATTCGTTTTCAGATGTGCGTAGTGAGTGGGTTTCTTTTTTTTTTATAGAAAATTGTCAAAATATAAATGTTTCCAAAAAATTTCCTTGATCATGGTCATAAAGACTGGAGTCTTCTTTTAAAACTTGTTACTCTTAACGATTTTTCTCTAGTAATTTTATTAAACTTTGAACGTCAAGATTAAATGACGAAACTTTAGGAGTTCTTGAATTTTGGTCGTTCAACCCTAACGTTCAAAGTTCACTAAAACAACGAAAGAAAATCATATAGCAAGTTTTAAGAGGTCGTTGTAGAAACATCAATCTTCAACACCGTAATGGATTTAGCCGTCTAAGTAAAATTTTTCAATGTTTCCACCAACGTGTGAATTTTTACAAAAATTTAACAATCTTTTTCCAAAGGAGAGAACCGATTTTTCATTTGTTACGTAATGTTGGAATATTTCGATCTCTCCACTCGCTTGGTAAAGAAGACTGGAGTCTTCTCTTAAAACTTGTTACTCTTAACGATTTTTCTCTAGCCATTTTATTAAACTTTGAACGTCAAGATTAAATGACGAAACTTTAGGATTTCTTGAATTTTGGTCGTTCAACCCTAACGTTCAAAGTTCACTAAACAACGAAAGAAAATCGTATAGCAAGTTTTAAGAGGTCGTTGTAGAAACATCAATCTTCAACACCGTAATGGATCTAGTCATAAATAAAATTTTTCAATGTTTCCACCAACGTGTGAATTTCTACAAAAATTTAACAATCTTTTTCCAAAGGAGAGAACCGATTTTTCATTTGTTACGTAATGTTGGAATATTTCGATCTCTCCACTCGCTTGATAAAGAAGCCTGGAGTCTTCTTTTAAAACTTGTTACTCTTAACGATTTTTCTCTAGCAATTTTATTAAACTTTGAACGTCAAGGTTAAATGACGAAACTTTAGGATTTCTTGAATTTTGGTTATTCAACCCGAACGTTTAAAGTTCACTAAAACAACGAAAGAAAATCGTATAGCAAGTTTTAAGAGGTCGTTGTAGAAACATCAATCTTCAACACCGTAATGGATCTAGTCATAAATAAAATTTTTCAATGTTTCCACCAACGTGTGAATTTCTACAAAAATTTAACAATCTTTTTCCAAAGGAGAGAACCGATTTTTCATTTGTTACGTAATGTTGGAATATTTCGATCTCTCCACTCGCTTGGTAAAGAAATCAGCAGACTGAGAGAGAGTGGGACTCACGCACGGCGAGGAAATTTCAATGCAGTGGAGGGGATTAAAGCGATCAGAAAAGTAGGAGAAGCCCGCAGGCCGCCAGTTAACCACTCTGGTTTAAATCTGACCGATATTGTGGCTGTGTCAAGCGAACTCGGTCTTAAACGCCGTTGGAATAATCCCAGATTACAACACCGTCGGTTCAACAATTAAGCGAGCGCATAATCGACAACGTGACATCGTCTCTCGCACTTTCACCTCTTCTACCGGTGAGGCTACGGTATTATGACACCGTGCACAACGATTTTCTTGAATCGTTAGCCTTATTACGACGATGAACCGCTCGCCTTTACCAGCGAATATGTTCCAATGATTATCGCGGCTGTTTTTTTCAAATATTTATTGGCGTTGATCTTACATTTTTCTCCACAACATTTTTTAGGATCAATAGGAATTCTAGCTTCTTATTATACTGTTGAAATTTTTTTATCACCTTTAGGATCGATAATTTCAACAGATTGTTGCTCTTAAAATAATTTCCTCAAAATTTTCTTTGAAAGATTTACGTCATAAACGATGTACTTCGTTTAAATTTCGTCAGTCATTGTTAGAACGTCAGTCATTATTAAATGATCTCAATTAACGGTAGTAACTCTCGATACTGGGTGTCACGTCCAATTTGTGACACTTTTATTCATAAATCGAAACAGAAGAAGAGGAAGATCCTGGGAGTGTACTACGTTGAATAACGTTGAATAGAAGAAGATTCTCTTGCAAAGTACCGAGAAGAGAGATCAGGACACGGATGAAAGAATCCCTGAAACCTTCTATCTTTCGTAATATTATTACAAATATCGTGATTCGTTACCGGGACGGGATCTCAAAGGCAAAAAAAGAGAGGAAAGGCTTTAGAGACGGCGAGCTCCGTTAACAGGTGCTTTCAATACCTGCTTAAAATTCTACGTTCGCTTTATAATTGAAACGTTCAACCTCGCCGCCCTCGTGCTCGCGTTTTACAGTGTAACGGGTATTAAATAATGAATGTGTTGATGTGCTACAGATTCACGGGGCGGATTCGGGAAGAAAAGCGGCTTTGTATTAAAACTTTTTACTCGTCGTGCAAAGTTGTCTGTCCACCAGTCTTCTCTCCTTCTTTGTCGTTGTACGACAAAAATATCCACCGAAAGAGAAAGAGAGAGAGAGAGAGAGAGAGAGAAGAATGAAATATTGACGAGGAATAAAAACAACCTGTCTCGTGCCAAAAATGAAAAATATCGCGAGTAGTTTGGGGAAAAAGAAAAAGACAGAAAAGAAAGCTTCTAGTTGTGAGCTATATTAAAACCAGTGAGAAAGATGGCGAGCACAGAGGGATTTTTCTTTTTTTTTTTCTTCTTTCTTTTTTTACCTTTTTTAACGTAAGGAACGTAAAATAGCGAGCACAAAATGTGCAATTAATTTTCGCACGAATGAATTTCGACGCGACACGATTGTCGCGACGTCAGTTCGAATGTGAGTAATTCGAGTATCTTAAAAAAAAAGAAACGAATCGAGTCGAGAAATTGTCAGCTCAAAGGTCGCGGCGTCAGAACGTCGGCACTTTAATACCAGAAGCGTTAAGTTTGACGCTTTTACGATGCGGCGCGCTGAGTGTCGGTGTGTTGTAATTAAGACAATTTCCTGCCCACGTCCCGGGCAATGACAATTTCAGAAACAGTTGCAGCAACTTTCGGACTGTCATCCTCGAGCTTGCGAGAACTTGCGTGGCACAAGTCTGATAAACGAGAACGGTAGGTTTTCGTCAAATTATATTCTTGACTTGTTGAACGTTCGTTGTTGGACGTTATTATTTATAATAATAATAATAATATATACATATATATAATATAATATAACATAATATAATAATATATATATGTTATTATTTATTATAATAATAATAATAATATATACATATATATAATATAATATAACATAATATAATAATATATGCATGTATATTATTATTATTTATTATATTATTATATTATTATATTATTATTATATTATATTATTATATTATTATTATATTACATTACTATATTATTATATTATTATTATATTATATTATTATATTATTATTATATTATATTATTATATTATTATTATATTATATTATTATATTATTATTTTTTATTATTATTTACGTAGAGTGAGGAAACCTCATAGCTTGGAATTTCTTTCTGCGATGCGACTGTCGTAGCGAAAGAAACTTATTATAATTCCTCTTACCATAACATAATATATTCTCATATTTAACATTTAAATTCAGAGGATCAATTAAAAACATTCTCTGAAGTTCCTCGATTAAACTTGAAGAAGAACAATTCCAACTTCTGGGAAAAGAATAGGAGTGCCAGAGTTGAACAAATTAGCTAGTACAGTTTTAGCTGTCCCAAGTCTATCTTGAAGTATATATTTTATCGTACAACTTACGAGATAATCGTACAAACGACACATTACTAATTCGAGCAAATTCAGAATAAAGTGAACAGCTGCCCCTCAGATATTCTTCTCTCGCTCGTTTCCATACGTAAAAACTATATATTATACTATAGAAACTGTATATTATTATATTCAGAATAGAATACCAGTGTAAATTTCAGTATTTACTTATTAAAGCAGCATTTAGAAATACCAATATTAATAGGATTGATCAAAAAGCGGTTACGCTACATTATTACCAACTCAAACACCCGGTAAAATATCGAAACCACGAGATATGTCAGTATTCGATCTCTGTTTCGAAATACTTTCTGCATCGAAGAACTTTCCATTTAATCTTCGAACAACCAGGACTGGGGAACAAAGAATCAGACGATATCGTTGTTACATATGTCACGCGAGCGTAACAAGTGTTAAAAAGTTGAAAATAGGGGAGCAGAGAGAGAGAGAAAGTCGACTCTCTGTCGCTAGTTAACGGCGTAATGTCGTTGAAGAACTTGACGTCGTTAACTTTGTTCTTTGCGCAGGGGGGTGAGAGGCGAAGTGGAACGAGCGAAATTCGTTGGTAATTACGCGAGACAACTAAAAGCGATTAAAAACGTCGCTGGAATGGACATCGGAAATTCAATTAATGCGCGCGAGATAGGAGAGACGCGAAGACTGCGACGAAGATACTGCTTGTGCTAACGTAATCGGGCTTGCACGCCTAATAATAATTATTCGAAGACATCCTGTATGCGCACATACAGTACGCTCCCGAAATTAAAATTTATAAAAAATAAGTCGAAAGAAAAGAGCACAATTTTTTTCACCAAGCTCTTGCTATTAAGAATTTTTTAACAAGTATTAAGAATTTTTTTTTACCAAATATTTATCAAGCACGCTTGGATTTAAAATTCTCGATTCTGAGCGCGGCGAGAAAGGATAATTAGATTATATTTGCACAAAAAATAAAAAAGAAACGTAGAATAAAGTTTTTGTTTCACTTCACGGCTTCATTTCTGAGAAGACCGACTGAATGTTTTTTTTAAACATTAAGTCAGAAGTTGGTACACACGTGCGTCGATGAATTTTAAAATTTTCGATGTGCCCAGGAACGAAGCACTTTGCGGAAGAATCTT